CCAACAGGCAGAGCCAGTGTGCTCAAAATGACAGCCATGGAAGATGTCAGAGAAAAGTCCAGACCCCCTTCACCCTCTCCCAAATCAATGATACATCACAAAACTGGGATAACTTCTGGTAAGTGGATGGCCTTCCTAGAACAGTACCCAGAGCCAGGTTACAAGTTTAAACTTTGAAACACTCCCTCCATCCATCTACTGGGTATTTTGTCATTGCTGCTATGGGCAGACGGGAAGGAGGTAAGTTGAGCAGAACTTGCTTCTCCCCTTAAGCAAATTAGGACCTTTAATTACCACCTTCCTTCCCCACCTCACTTAGTCCCTCCACTTAATAACCTCTGAACCACAAAACAAAATTCAATCTAATCTAGAGTTGGGAGCAAGAAAACAATAAACGCGTCCTGAGGTTTAGGGTACTTTTCTCTCTCAAGCTTGTTACCAGGAGGCCTGATCACATGATTTCTATCCATGGGGTGCAGCCTGATGCTGCCAAGCACTCTCACACCTTTCCTTTGTATGTGTCCCAAGCCTTTAGTTTTGGAGATGGCCTGGTACGTGGCATGGATATTTGAAATGAGGAGCAACGAAGGGAATCTGCTACTGGAAGGTGGAGCTAAGACATTTCTTTTTCCTTCTCTGCTCATTAACATGAAAATGGCAATTATTGCATCATCAGTGGAAGAGCAGAAGGGAGTTTCAGGATCATGACTTAAAAGCTGACGCCAGAAATATATCCAACTCAGCAGAGGTAACGACATACCACAGAGCCCAGTATTCCCAACTTACTGCCCCCTGCCCATTTCTGTTGATACTATCAATACTTGAACTAAAGATGGTATCCACTTTGCAAAAAGGCACTCTACCCCCCAAACCCAGAAACACCTAGCAAACTATATTAACCCAGAATTCTTATACTTCCTCTGTCTCCTTTACAGGGCTTGGGAGAGGGCCAAGTACATCATATCCCTCAAAAAAGCAAACATCCGCAAACTCTTTTGTAAATTTAAAGGGCTATTTTACGTTTAAAGCACGCTGGTTTCAAGTTCGAGTGTCTGATATGTTCTCATGGTAGTTCTTCAGAGCACACTGGTTTCCCTAATGCTGGTGCCCTGCCAGGGGCCACACTTCTGTCTGGAAGAGAAGCAGCTATTCTTTTGGTTTGGTGTACCAGGCTTCCCTTAGGGAAATTGTTTTGAGGAGTATAGGCATTGGGATGATTTTGGAGTTTTTAATGGAGATGGGCTGCATGCTCTAAGATGGGTGAGCCACACGTGCTCCCCCCCC